TCCCTGGTGAATTAACAAATGCCTTCAAAGAACAGTCCAGACAAATATTTTTTTTTTGTTGTTGTTAGATGCAGTCAAGTTGGTTCTGACTCATAGTGACCCTACGCCTAACAGAAGGAAACACTGCCTGATCCTGCTCCATCCTCACAATCTGTAGTATACTTGACTCCATCATTGCAGCCACTGTGTCATTCCATTTCATTGAGAGTCTTCCCCTTTTGTTGACCCTCTACTTTACCAAACATGACATTTTTCTCCAGGTACTGGTCCCTTCTGACAATATGACCAAAGTACATGAGACAGAATATGACCATTTTTGCTTCTTAGGAGCATTAGGGCTATACTTCTTCCAAGACAGATTTGTTTGTTCTGCTGGCAGTCCATGGAACTTTCGATATCCTTTGCCAACACAATTCAAATGCTTCAGTTCTTCTTTGATCTTCCTTATTCATTGTCCAGCTTTCACACACATATAAGGCTACTGAAAACATCATGGGTTGAGTGAGGCACACCTTAGTCTCCAAAGTAACATATTTAATCTTTAATACTTTAAAGAGGTCTTTTGCAGCAGATTTGCCCAGTGCAATACGTGATTTGATTTCTTGACTGCTGCTTCCATGAGCATTGATTGTGGATCCAAGTAAAATGAAATCTCTGACAGCTTCAATCTTTTCTCCATTTATTGTGATGTTCCTTATTGGTCCAGTTGGGAGCATTTTTGTTTTATGTTGAAGTGTAATCCATACTGAAGGCTGTAGTCTTTGATTTTCAACTATAAGTGCTTCAAGTCATCTTCACTTTCAGTAAGAACATTAGGTCACCTGAATATTGATGGCAGGTTGGTAATGAGTCTCCCTCCAATCCTGATGCTGCATTCTTCTTCATATAGTCCAGTTCTCAGATTATTTGCTCAGTAATAAGTTTGTTTGCTCAAAGAAACCTTGTGGTTAGCAGCTGAGCACTTAACCACCACAGCTCAAATAAGTATGGTGAAAGGATGCAATCATGACACACACTTTCCCTGATTTTAAACCATGCAGTATTCCATGGTTCTGGTCAAATGGGTGCCTCTTTGCCCATGTAAATGTTTCTTCATGAATACAATTAAGTGTTCTGGAATTCACATTCTTTATAATGTTCTCCATAATTTGTTATAATCCACAAAGTCAAATACCTTTGCATAGTCAATAAAACACAGGTAAACATCTTTCTGGTATTTTTTGCTTGCAGCCATGATCCATATGACTTCAGCAATGTTATCTCTTGTTCCTTGCTCTCTTCTGAATCTGGCTTGAATTTCTCACAGTTCCCTATCTATGTACTACTGCAGCCATTTTTGCATTATCTTGAGCAAAATTTTACTTGTGTGCAATATTAATTATATTATTTGGTAATTTCTGCAATTTGTTGGATCCCCTTTCTTTGGAATAGGCACAAATATAGATCTCTTCCTGTCAGTTGGCCAGGCATCTGTCTTCCAAATTTTTTGGTATAAACGAGTCAGCACCTCCAATGCTGCACCCTTTTGTTAAAACACCTCAATAGATATTCTGTCAATTCCTGGGGCCTTGATTTTGCCAATTTCTTCAGGGCAGCTTGGACTTTTTCCTTCAATACCCTCGGGTCTGGATCATTTGCTGTTTCCTGAAATGTACTAATGTTGATCAATTCTTTTTGGTACATTGAATCTGTGCATTCCTTCCATCTTCTTTTGATGTTTCCTGCACATTTAATAAACTTACATTTCATATGATTATTTAAGCTAAGTGTGTTTCTGAATTTGTAAAGATCCATTGTATTTGCTTATTTTTGGCAGCTTATCTGAATGTCTCCTTTCATTTTGCATACGTATCATTTTATTTATTTATTTTTAATGTGTGACAGTTTATACAGGAAATTAGGTTCCCATTTAACATTTCCTACACAAATACTGAAATACTTGTTATATTCTTCACAACGTGTCATCATTCTCATTTATTCCATTCTGGTTGAACCATTTCCCATACTCTAGTTTCCTTGCCCCCTTATCTTCTCATCTTTGCTTCACAGCAATTTTTGAGAATTTGGCCTCATATAGATGATTTTTTCAAAGGACCTCACAGGTAATATTTTTTATTTTATGAGCTAATATGTCATTTATCTAAAAGTTGACCTTGAGGGATAATCTTGGTTTAAAGAGTATCTCTGGGCAATAGTCTTGGGGAATCCTCTAGTCTCAACAGGTCCAGTAAGTTTGGACGTTTTCAGAATTTGAGTTCTGTTCCACATTTTTCTCACTTTCTGTCAGGATCCATCTATTGTGACCCTGATTAGAATGGACCAGTAGTCATTGTGGAGCACCATCTAGTTCTTCTAGTCTCAACAGTAGATGATAACGTGGTTCATGTTGACTATTAGCCCTGTAGACTACTTTTTTCTCTGAGTCTTCAGTGTTCTTTCTCTTTAGTTCCAGATGAATAAAGATCAATAGCTGCATTACAGATAGATGGACACAAGCTTTTAAGACTCCAGATACTACTCACCACATTAGGATGTAGAGCATATACTTTATGAACCATACCAAGCCAATTAAATTCATTTTCCCATGAGACTATGGTCCTAAGCCTTCAAACTCAGAAAATCAATCTCATGATGTATTTGGTTATGTCTAAGAAGTATCCATAACTGTGCTCCACATGTGGTTTATTACACACACATGCCTATAGATACATCTATCTGTGTTTACATACATATGAATATATTTTTTAAAGTAATATATTGCTGTTAGCAGTAAAACAATGACAATAAATCCAATGGACAAATGATTAGAAAACGATTACCTGAATGTTCTAGTTAATCTTCCTTTCTAAACAAATTTTAGAAGCAATTTTCTTTTAGTACATGGCTACTAGCAAGAGGCTGCCTGTGTTTTCTATGTGCCAAACTCTGTGTTTGACTCCTAGCTGTGGAAATTAATTGGGAATATATTTGAAAGGCATCTTTTCCACACTATGTTGTCACTTAAAATAACTTACCTCTATAGAATGAGTCTCGACACTGATTATAAAAACTTGTCCTCCAGAAGCCGCCCATAACATATCTTCCATCAGTAGTAGACTTCTAACTGGTAAGACGCCTAATTTTATCACTTTTTGAGGCTCAGAATTCCAGGATCCATCTTAAAAGGAAATATTTCTTTTAATTACATTCAAATTCAATAATCCATGCTAAACAGGGACAAAGGTACATGGCCATAGATAATATTAAAAAATAGATAATCAAAAGATCACTTACAATTTTGATATTTTTGCTTTGTTATAGGTATGTCTAGGGTTCTAAGAATTAATACCATTTCAGTAAGGCAAATTAACATAGTGATTAAGCACAAAGTAATTGTAGTCAGTAGGCATTGGGTTTAATTTCAGCTCAAATTACT